ATCCCTTGCAGTACCCCAGAACGGCCTCTCGCCGCTCCCTCGCACCATTCCTGGCTTCCCTGCCTTCCAAATCCAAGCTGTCGCAGAGCGTTTCCCCCGGAATGAAACCCGGGAAGAGCACCCAGGAGCTCGGGGCAGGGCTCCAACCCACCCGGGTCCTCTCCGGATTTTCTCCCCCGGCTCCCTTCCCGCCCAGGGGAGGTTGTTGCAAGACGTGCATCAAATATATGAAGTGTATAAAACGCTTCCCAGGGGCAGCCAGCCCTCCTCCAAAGGGGAAAATCAGGGCTCTGTGCAAAGGAATAAGGAAAAAATAAGAGTTGCACAGTGCAGCCAACACCTGGGATTTGGGGCACGGTAGCTCCTGCTCCAGATCCTAAACCCTGTTGGGTTCCTTTCTGACAACCACACTCATGGACCCAAATCGCCCCCCAGACCCACACTCCCGTTTCAGGCAGACTTTTTGCTCGATGGAGGATTTCAAGATCAATTCTGTTCATTTTCAGCAGGTTGGGGTGTTTGGAGTCACCCAGGTTTTGGTTCTCGGGGGAAGGGGGGATTTCACAGCAAGGTTTTAGCTCCAAGGAGCTCAGCTGCCTTTACCAGATGTGCTACAAGTTGTGCTTAAACCCTGGAGAAAACCCTTCACTGGATATTCCAAGGAAAATCCCAAACCTTCCTAGGAAAACAAACAAACAAAAAAAATAACAAAAAACTCTTCCTTTGCCACATCAAACTGTTCTTTCAATGCCCTGGCAGTGCAGCCAATTCCTACCTGCTTTTCCCAGTCCTCTTATCGAGATGTTCAGGCACAGGAGATTTATTCTTATTCATAAAGTCACCCCTGACTTTATTTTTCTCTGTCTCTTTTCCACCCAGAAGGCCCCAGGTTCTCCCCACCACCTCTCCTTCCCCCAGCAAGGCTCCCAAACTGGGGTTCAGCCCCTCCAGGTGATGCCCAAGTCCATGTTCACACCCTCAAATCCTCCTGTTTCCTTAGCACACTTTTCCCCAACAACATTAACTCCCGAGGTGACACATTCAGAGACACCCAAAACACCTGCCCAGGAATTCCCAGCGGGAATTGAAGCGAATTAAAAAAACCACTCCTTCACAAACCTCTCCCTCACATCACTTAAACTCCCAACCCTAGAAAATAATAAAGAAGATTTCAAAGGAACAAAAGCCTCCCCTCCCTCCACCCTTCGAATCCCGTGGACCCTCCCCGTTTAAAAAACCTAATTTTGAGCCTTTTATGTGTTCAAACCCTCTCTCCCTGGGCGTGTTTTTTTGTTGTTTTTTTTTTTTTTTAATTTTGCACACAGCTGTCTGTTGTACTTCCTCCAATGATGCCAGATGCTGGGTTCATCAACCCAACGCAGGCAAACAATGCTTGGAAAGCAATTAGAAGCAGCGAGGCTGCACCGAGGCTCATATTAAAATGTGATAACACTGTTCTGGGGGGAATTGCAGAAGCTGCTGCAGTTCTGACATCTCTGTGCTGCCAGGCACAGGCAGGATAGGCTGGAAGTGGGCCCTGATCGAGGAGGGAACACACTGGAATTTATTCCTGGGGTAAAGGAAGGATCAGATGAGTTGGAACACTCGGAAGGGGTTTTGTTGTTTGAACACTGATCTGTCCGTGCTCACCACTGTTTAAGGAAAATTTAAGGGAAAAGGACAGTCCCACTGATCCCTGCGCCTTGGCTGCAGCCAGGGAGGACCCAACACTCCAAAAATCAGGAATTAGAGCCGAGCTCCACCCATGTGACACAGTCCAAGGAGCTCCGGGTCGGCTCCGGGCAAACACAGATCCATCAACTGTCCCTGCTACGCAGGAGAAGCCACTGACAGGGCTGGTGACCCACAGGCACCCTGGAAAGTTTAAATCATCGCCCCCATTATTGAGGAAATGAAGATCAAAGTCGCCATCAGAGCCTCTCCCAGCTCGTTAACAGACATAACAAGGGATGGTCACGGGGCCTGGAAAATTTACAGCCCGGCCATGTGTCCACACCTGGAGCCTGATTGAGTTTCAAGTTCAGGTTAAACACGAGCAATGAGAGTGGAGGTCACCCAACAGCCCCTGCTCCCAAGCCAGTGGTCCATGGGAATGCTCTGCCCTTCCCAAACTTTAAAGCTTTTCTGGAGACAGAAGTTCTGCAGAAAAAAAACCTTCCCGGGGCTCGTCCAGGACAATAAATTCATGCCAGAACCACCACACACGTCGTGTTCTTTGCTCTCCAGGGTGAGGAGAAATGAGCTTCTGCTGCTCAGCCCAGCCACAGCCTCAGAACTGCCACACTGCAGCTTTAAATTCATTTAAATTTCAATTTAAAAACACACACACATCCAATCCCTCCCACCCCTCAGGCTCATCCCCCTCCTTCCCTCATCAGACTCACCTCGGGGTGCAAAAGTCAAGTGGTACCTGAAAGATCAAAGAGAAAAAAGAGTGGTTAAGACACGATATTTTCTCAGAGATCTGTTCCAGCCTCATGAACAAGTGACAGAGGGGAGAATCCTGTCAGGAACCCACAGAATGGGGTTCCACAGACACACATTCCGGGCAGGAAGCTCCAGGAGGAATTGGGATGTCCCATATCCCTGTCCAAGGTCAGCTCAGAGCAACCTGGGGCAGTGGGAGGTGTCCCTGCCCCTGGCAGGGGGTGGCACTGGATGAGCTCTGAGGTCCCTCCCAACCCATTCCATGATTTTGTGAACTCCCATCCCCTGGAAGGGGTCTCCTCCTCCAAACACGAAGGTTTATGGGACCTTTTGCTGCAGAGCCTGAATTAAGGACTTCCAAAGGTCCCTTCCAACCCAAACTATTCCCTGTCCTCGTCTCACACCCCCCCTGCAGCAGCAGCACCACAGAGGGGGCAACACACGCCCTGCCCACGCCAAAAAAACCTCATTTCTTCCCCTCCCTCACACTTGGGGCTCATCTTGGGTTGAAATCAGAGTCATTTTAATAAAGGAACGAGCACTGGGGAGTTTTGGAAGCGGATCAAGGGCTGGGGATAAACCACAAAGTGACCCATTCACAGGCAAGATGTGTAACAAAGGCTCGGTCTATAGGCACTGGTGGCAAGAATCCAGTGTGTAAAAACCCAATCAATTTGTTTTCCTCATTAAAAAGCTTTCATGAAGAAAATGATTTAACACAAACATCCAAGCTACTGACGCAGATTAATTAGGAAACAACGGCGGAATCCTGATGAAGGGGCCTAATATTTATTTGACTTGTTTGCTTTGGACGAAAAGAGAAAAATTAAAGGACGTGCAGAGGCAGAAGAAACTTTGCTGGGTGATAAATAACAGCTGTGTGATGGAGGGAAGAGCCACACCACTGTGCTCTGGGCTGCACGTTTCTCTGGGCCTTTGGATGCTCCTGGCAGTGGTTCCCAAATTCTCCAAGGAGCTCTTTCCTCTCCCATCCTACATTTTCTCCCCCGAGCCCAGAGAGGCAACACCACCCACCCGAGGTCAGGGGTGTCACAACAGCAGCTCCACCTTTTGCTTTCCAATCAGCTTTACCTGTTATTCAACCTTTGCTTTGAGATTTCAATCATTTATTCAACATCTGAGCCGAGAAACCTCCACCTTGGGCTCTGCCAGAGCTCCCCCAAACCCCCCCAGCCCCGAGAGCTGAAATACTTTTGTCTCCTGAACAGACAAGGACGGGGAAAAAAAATCACTTCTTCCTCCGTGAACTTTTGTCTCTTGTGCTTGAGAGACTGTCCTAATCTCCCCTGCACATGTTTTAGTGATAACATTTACTGCACCGGGGCCAAAATGATTTTCTGTCACTTGCAATTCCAGTTCAATAAAAGTATAAGAGCTTTGTTTCTAACCTCTGTCATTTTTAATACAGTAAAATGGCTTAAAAAAAAAATGTAAAATTGAGTTCCATTTCCTCCCGGACCAGCAAAGCCCATGTTAAGCTTTACTCTGATCAAATTTAAGGCAAGGGGGGGGGGGAAATACCAAAAACATGCTTGGCTTTGGCCTTTTTTTTTTTTTTTAGCATAAGGAAACAGTCAAAAATTCTAATCTCATCAGATCAGGATATGTCTTTAATCTCCAGCTTTGATCATTTGCACTCTGGAAAGGCTTAAGCAGAGAATGAAAGTTTAGTTTAAAATTTAATCGGGAGTGGGAGGAAAATGGTCTTGTTCTTACAGAAGATGGAAGAGTAATGACCCAATTCCTTCCTCTGCCACTGACTGCATGGAAACCTTGAATAAATTACTGACCTCAGGAGTGCAGAAGGTACCGAAAATACCGTGGCATCACATCCAAGTATTTTCACTTCACAGAATTTTTCTTTCCGCTGGTGTTTTGTCCAAGAGAGGGCGGGGAAAGCACCGCTTTGTGTTTCCCCCACCCCTTCCTGAAGGCAACCTCAGCCTCAGCTAATCACCAAGTTCTCTTCTCACCATTTTCACAGGTGGTCAAAACATTCGTTTCTTTTTTTTTTTTCCTGCAAGAAACGCGACTGTTTGGGCAAAACACCCGTTTTTGCTTCAACAACCTCAGGGGTTAATTCAAAAACAGCCGCAGCCCCGGGTCCTGCGCATGATAAAATCAGAATAAATCGCGTTTCTGTGCGGCACAGGAGGAGGAACTCGCTCAGCAGCAGCAGGTTCTCACCTCGGGCCGTTCTCCAAAGTGCGGAGCTTGAGGCCAATTAACGCTTTTGTTCCCAATTAACACAGAGGAGCGCGTTACTCAACACGCCCATCTGTGGGCAACAGGCACTTACACAACATTTCCTCCTCCAGCTCGGCAGGTTTGCCCCGAAAGCTGCAGCCCAGTAACATCTCCCAGCAAATCATTACAAATATCCTGTAATTGCTCCACACACATCCCCCCCTGAGCCAGCTGAACTCAGAAACCAAAGGCCTGCTCCTTCTTTAGTCTGGGATCAGCTTGACGTTTTCATCCTTAATAAACAGTTTTTTAGATCTCACAAACAGCAGGAAAAGCTCCTCCCTCGTTTTGTTAACGAGAGAGTTTGGGAACAGGGGATGGATTTGGTCATGGCTTGACTGTTTCTTTTAAGCACATGATTAAAAAGGCTCCTGTGCCCTAGAAATAACCCCCCAAGAGGAAAATCTGTTCAAGGCCAGGCTTGGAGCAACCTGGGAGAGTGGAAGGTGTCCCATGGGATGGAATTGGATGATCTTTGAGGTCCCTTCCAACCCAAACCATCCCAAGATTCCATGGAACCAAAGCAAAGAGCTCTCAGCCCTACAACAGGAAGGTTCAATTCACACACCAGACCCTAAAAAAGCAGAGGGGAAAATCTCCTGTCAAAGGATGAACAACCTGGAGCAGAACGAGCCCCCGTGGAATCCTCAGAGATTTTTGGTGCTTTATGTGCAGGGAGGAACTCGCCCAAAAATGTCTCATTTCCACTACAAAGCCCAAGGACTTGTGATGTGCTGCCAGGAGTGTAACAAGAGACATCCCACGAGCATTTCCCCCTCAATGGGGGGAAATCTTCCCAACAAACCACCCACCTCTCCCACGTTGGATTTGTTCTGCTCCAAAAACACCGACTGTTTGTGGAGCCCGTGGGGATCCACCCTCAGCAGGCAAACACAGGGACTCTTCCCCTGGGAATGTTCGTGCTCTTTGCTCCTGAAAAACACACAGGCTCCAGTTCTAACCCAGACCCAAGAAAACTGCAGCTGAGCTGTGCCAGCAGAGCTCCGAGGGGCAGTTCCCACGAGCAGGAGCAGAAGGAAATGCTGCTGAGGAGGGAGGTGGAGGCACAGAACAGGCAGGGCTGCCAGAAAACCTCCTTCCCAACAGGAACCCTCCGCCCTCCAGCCTGGAAACACGACTAGTGATGTGCTGGAAGGAGCAGAGCCTTCTGCTGCCTCCCAGGAGGGAAAGCTGGTTCCAGGGCCTGGCTCACAAACCTCATCTTTGCACTGCTTTGGAACAGGGGCAACACCAGGAGCATCAAATTGGCACCTGGGAGGTTGGAAAATCGAGTTCTCCAAATCCTCCCTCCTCCTCCCAGGTCTGCTGTGTGATGGATTCACCTCCAGGAACTGGCTTTTCATCCCAGGGACAGTGATGCTTCCAGGGCTGGCCAAGCAGAAAAAGTTACTGTAACGCTCCCGTCACATCACCAGCAGGGTTTAAACCAAGGAAACACAGAAATATCCCTTCCTGCTCCAAAAGGAAGGGCGGGCAGAGCCCTGGGATACACAGGGATGGAACTCCCCCCTGGGTCAGTATTTCCCCTGCCACACCGGGTCGAGATTTGCCCTCTGGTGCAAGCACAGGACTTGGGTTTTCTTGGAACACCGAGATAATTTGGTTTTATTCCTGCATTTCCAACCTTTACACAACTCAGGCAGATCTACCCCAGGCCCCTCATCCTCTGCTGTTGTCATGGGGAGAGTCACAAATCCCACCAGAGCCCAGAAATCCAGGAAAAATCCCTCATTAACACACGCCCTCCTCCCAGCCACAGAAAGTTGCTGACCAGCAGCAGCAAATCAGGCATCAAACCTGCTCCATTTGGGGCCAGGAGCAAAAAAAATCAGTGTCTGAAATATCAGTGTTAAGCAGGGGGTCAAACTTGATGGGCATAATGGTCTCTCTGCAGCCCTAAAGTCTCTAAAAGTCTAAACCCCACTTTCCTCTCAGACTCAATTGCAGCAGGAACCATAAAGTAAAGTCAGGTTTCAATCAAATTTCCTGTATTTTCCTGTCCAATTAAGAACACTAATATCACCACAGATGTCATTAAATTAGATATTTTTGAGACAGCCTAATTTGTTCGTCAGGTTTTAATGTTTGGAGAGGAAAAATAATAATAATAATAAAAAAATCAATGCTGTACAAGATTTCAGGCAGGAAAAAAAAAATAATAAAACGAGATGAAAATGGGATTGGGGAGTTCAACCATTAGCAAAGCCAGTTAGAAACCACTTCAAATGCATTTCTCAGCTAAATGTTACAGGGGAGCAGCAGCAGCAGCAGCGAGGCAAAGACTCTGGTTACAGGGTTTCAATCATTTCCAGGGCTCAGGTTTCAGATTAACAAGGAAATGGAAGGGGGGAAACAGGGGTAATTTTATCAGCTGGGATGGAAAACGATGCAAATGATGGCAAAAAGCCTGAGCCAGGAGGCACCAAAGTGAATTAAAGGGGCAGAGGGAACAGCCACGCTCAGCACAGGTAGAGGAGAAAAGCAGGTGGGGTGGGTGGGATGGAGAGAGAGAGAGAAATCCAGGTACAACAACTCCAGCACTGAAGAGGAGAGACACTGCTGCCCTGGAAGGGGAAAGGATCTTTCCTTCTTCCCTTCTGGACTTTTATTGGAGGGAAAGGAGATTTGATCCAGTGTAAATATTGCTTTACCATAGGAGAGAGATGGTTAGAATTGTGTATATAATGTCTTATA